ACCCACCAAAAATTACACATACCCATGATAGAGTACTTAGACCAATAATACCTGAGGTGTTCTTTGTCCCACAATACTTGTGGGACAAATTACTGTAACACTATGTACTTCGAAGTACCTGAGTTGTCCCATGGGACAAAGTATGACAGTTAGTTGTCCTAACTATTTGGGACAAACTATCAAAAATACATTTACCCACCAAAAAATAGACATACTCTCACTCACAGTACGTGAAATCAGTGTAACTTTGCTTTTATATTTTTTGTTAATGTGGGTTGTTCGAGCCCTAACGTTTATCCCACGGAGTTGCTTGACGTGTCGGCAACGAAGAAGCAAATTCAAGCCAAGTGATGTGTACATAATGGTATGATTGCTTTTGAAATGTATTGTTTGAATATAAAAGTAATGTCCAGTAGTGTGAATCATTATTTGGCTTGAGTTTGCTTCTTCGTTGCCGGGTATGTCTTGGCATCCGTTGACGACAAACGTTTCTTTGGCGTTTTGACGCCTACATATAGTCTTGAGAATCCGACAATACACATGAGCCAACATACCTTGTTCGCACCCTAGGACTTTGGGAAACTCGACCTTCACTTGAATACCTATAGTGGCACAGTGCACATCCAGATACAGTAGTACTGAATGTGAGAAGCGACACTTACCATGTTCGATATCCTTGTCGTTGGTAGTGTTCACTTGAGAGCCTATCGTAGCTTAATTGAGTTGTAGTCAGTAGGGCAATCAAAGTTACTGTTGCTCGCAGTGTCCTGGGAGTTGTCCGTGCAATCTTGTTCATAGCTTTGTTTCGTCGTTGTGTTTGCGTCGGGGTGTTCTTGGCCATCGCTGTGTTCGATAGTCATCGTGATTTGTGTTCGGTGGCTTTGGACGTCCAAGAACAGAGCTTGGCATTGTTTGCCGTCGTAGAGTTTCAGATCTTTCACTACCAACTTGACAATGTCGCCGCGCTTCCAATTGGAGATCTTGGCCTCTTGGCTGGAGAACACCATGACGCTGAGGCAAAATTCCTTGCGATCGTACTCGCTGAGGGACTGCATGTCATCCCAGTCGGCAGGAGTGGACTCTTCGTCAATCAGATACACTCGTTTGCCGTTTACTTCGCCGTTCTTCTTCCTTGCATCGGCCATGTCGAAAACGCGTAGCTGCACCGTGAGTTGGACATGCTGGCTATGGCATTCAGCGGCGGCCTTTTGGATCGCCAAGATGGTGTTGTGTGGCGGGGCGTGTGCGGCAGCAATTGCCTTGGCCAGCCGCGCGCGCAATGTCGACATGATTCAATAATGTGGGCCATGAAATGCTATGAGACTTGCATACGTTGGAGTCGATTATATGGAAAGTTGTATTTGTGTCAGAATCATGGGACTTAGCGCAAGGAACAGTCGTTGGAGTACCTTGTACGACAAACATTCGATGGTATTGTCGTGTCTCAGCTGCATCCATGCATTGTTTTCATCATACAATTATGCTAACTATGTTCTGACTGCAATGGATTGTGACACATACGTTGGATAGAAAGTGTGACATGTGCCATCGTTCAGTTATTCTC